TTTTGGGGTACTTTGATTGAAGAGAAATTCATTTCACAGGATTACATCTTGCTAAAGCATTCCTTAGCATTGGTCCAAACTTGAATTCCCTTTTAAAACAAACCAAAAAAAAAAAAAAAAAGGCCCCAAAACCTTAAAATGTAATTTTGGAAGGATTTTGAAAGGCCAAGTACTTGGCTTACTGGTATGTTAGGTTTCAACTTTTGGAATAATTAGTAAGTACAACAAACAGAACACTTTTTCTGGCAATGGCAAATATAAGTCAAAGTGAAATACTTGTGAAAAAAGTAATAGAATCATTGTATGAGCCTGTTTTCAAAACAGATACAGAACTCCTACTTCTTTTTGAAAGACTCATTTACTCATATCATATATTCATATCATTTCTACTTATAAAACAAACAAGTTTTGCAATATCTAAAACAAAAAACCTGATTAGTCTAACAATTAAATATTATTAATTTATTAACCTAATAACCAATATTTTGATAAAAAGTTATGAACTCCCTCTCAGTGGTTACAGCAGGCTATTTAGCAAAAACTAACATGCTATTATATACCTAATAGGCTTAAACAAAAATGCATGTTTGTAAAAAATGTAGTAGTAAAATCTAGACAGTGGTGGAAGGTATGTTTTCAACAAACAAGATATATATATATCCTGTTTATATATATATATTCTTCAATAACTGCTAATTTATCAAGAAATTTTAATACTTACACATTAAAGTTAATCAATATTTATTGAGGCTTTGAACAATAGGAAAAAAATTAATCTTTTTAGCTTTTTTTCCTCCCTGATGAAACACAAAAAGAAAAACAAAACAAAACCACACAAGAATCCTTTAATGTCCCAGACTGACTTACTAAATGATTTACTGAGATAAAGCATGCTGAATCACTCAATAAATTAAGAAGCACTAGAGAAATGTAAAGCACCAGTACTGACTGGTGATCACACAGGCAGCTCTGGGGTTCTGAAAATGAGGTTAAGGAATATTATACATTTTGTTCTTACAACATCATTTTAAAAAATTTCCATCACTGCCAAAACACTTATTTTAACCAGAATAAGCTTCAGTGTTCATACCTTATACGAGAGGTATCAGTGACATGTGTATTAATACACACTTTCATGTGTATCTTTTCAAACTCATTTGTATAACATACAATCATTTAAAAAATACACACTTTCCTCTTTCCCACAAAAACAGGATTGCATTATATGCACTAGTGTGTAGCCTGTTTTCTCATCTGCCGTTCTATTAGGACATCTCATTAGGACAGTGCATGTGAGATCCATCTTATTAGGACAGTGCATGTGAGATCTATCTTGCCTTTTCTAACACTGAATACTCCATTAGATACTACTCTATCTAAACCCTAACGTTTAGACCATTTTTCAATGAAAGTATGTATCGCTGTTAGGAATGGTATTTTACTGCCCTGTTCAAGAATATCACATAACCATAGTAATGTTTTTAGTACATATTTTCAAATACAAGTAAAAACAGGGCATACAAATTTGGAACTTTAGATGAGTGGAGACTTGGTAATTAAGATTTTAATTATGACACTTCTTTCAAAATTAAGTAGAGAAACTGGGAAACATTCTGGAAGAGAAGAATGGACTTTAAAAATAAAAATGATATACACTTTGTTCCAAATAAGAAACTGATTTTAAAGAAATTTGGCAGCACTTCTGAATATACTCGTACCTTCAATGAAACCAAAACCTACCTTTTTGCACATACTGATCTGCATGACTGCGTAGCTGATGAGGGCCTCCTTTAAATCATGGTTCTTTTGTTCTTTGAAGCGTTCAATATCAGCCCAAGCATTTTTGACAAACTCTCTGAAATAAAGGGTATAGTCATCATTATTATTCTTATTTAAATTAAATAAACTACATATTATTAATTCAAATAAACACTTCTCATCTGAGTTGGGTTTTTGTCTATAAAGTGAGAGAAAAAGCAGACAGTCATACACTCTTCTACATTTTAATAGTCTCTTTTACCATGAATTCCAGCTTCAAATTATTCCTGTAAAACAGATGTAAATGGCTCCTTGAACCAACTTACAAGCCAACAGATGCCGCATGAACTTACCTGCCTGGAGTCACTGCAAAACATACAGTCTTTTCAACAAGATGGATTATGTATCACATTTATCATGTATTTTCTTTAAATGACAACTAGAGTTTTAAAAGTTCTGAGAGCCATTTGTCTTTTTTTTTAAACATGTGATCCATTTGTCTTTTTAACTCTGTTCATGAGTTAACTTTGACTTACTTGACACCAGCAGTTTCAAAAATTAACAAAACCACCTCCAAATCAGTGAAACTCTTAGTCTGCCTTGATCTACTCAACAACTGTCAAAACTGACAAAAACAACATGAAAAATGCGCCCAAAAGTCCATGGCAGATCTCTGAGAAGTGAATTTCTGAAAATATTTATGGAATAATTATATTCTAAGTCATATGCAAGGTGCTGGGACATAAAGATGAAGAAGACACAATCACTGTGTCTTTGAAGGGCTTGTAATTTAGCCAGAGACAGTCACACTGTACAAAGTGCCGTGGGATAAGGGCATTAACCAAGTGCTGTGACAGCCTGTGAGGATAAGAGAAGGCTTAACAAAGGAAGCAGTTCAAGAGCTGGGCATTGCAGAATGATGAGGCTTTTAACTGACAGAATAGAGTAGAGGAAATATGCAAAGGATAGAAATCATGTAAAGTGCAAGAAAATAATATTATGAAGTTTAAACACTTCCTTCTTCCCCTTTCCCCAACACTAACACAACTGTTTCTGTGTAACATGATTTTTGATTACTCAAATTTCTCAGGAATAGTCAATCACTGTATTTTAGAAGATTGAGGCTACATCCAGGGACTGATGAAGCTAGGAATCGTTATAAGCCACCTGCCACAGAGCCTAAAGTCTAGCCATGTTAAACATCCCAGCATTTTTACCTGCCTTCCAGATTTTTAGACTTAAGTTGTTGTTCTCCTTCCTTTATTTGTTCTTCTAGCATCTTTATTCTGGCTTCTCTCTGCTCTGGAGTTTCTTGACCGAAGAGCTGGGTAGTCACTCCCTTCAAAGAAAATGTTCTCACAGTCTAAAATGAAACAGAAACAGATGAATGGATAAATAACATCCATACACTGAAATATTTTTCAGTCTTAAAAAGGAAGAAAATTCTGACACACGCTACAATATGGATGAACCTTGAGGACACTGTGCTAAGTAAAATAAGCCAGTCACAAAAAGACAAATACAGTACAAGTCTACTTACATGAAGTATCCATAGTAGTATAACTTACAGAGACAGAAAGTGGAATGGTGACTGCCAAGGGCAAGGTGACGAGGGAAATTAATAGTTGATATTTAATAAGTACAGAGTTTCAATTTTGCGAGATGAAGAGTTCTGCAGGTTTGCTGTACAACAATGTAAATGAACTTACTACTACTGAACTTGAAAAATGGTTAAAATAATAAATGCTATGTTCTGTATATTTTACCACAAATTTTTTTTAAAGAGGACATAGTCATTTTCCCCCTACCTCAGACAGAACACCACAAACCATACAACCAAGGGGCTACTATTAAGGCTTTTAATACTAGAAAATGTTGAAGAATCAAAAAAGGAAAAATTTTAACTGAGCTTCTTCATCATATAGAAAACTTCCAGGTGAAATACTAGGCAAGTTATTTATGTCAGCAGTCATATTTTTTCAATTATTCTGTGATCATAAAAAATGGATAAAATTCAACAGGCAACAACGAAAATAAACCAAACTGAAAAAACCATTTAAAATCTGCATAATTCACACTAAAACTTGGTTATCTATTAATAAAACAGAATGACTAAACCCAAGCCTCAAACGTCACCATCTCTTCACTCTCTGGAATTTACTGAAGGAAACGCTTTTCCCTGCAAATGCAGGAGTAGAGAGCCAAGCTCCCTGAAAATGGACTGGAAATTTCCCCTGGATTTTAAAAATAAATCAAGCCAGTGTGTATCTGCTTCATGGTCAAAGGTCCTTCCCCATGTATCTTCATGTGGGTAGCCCACAAGCACTTGTAAAAGTAAAGTGAAGTTGCTCAGTCGTATCTGACTCTTGGCGACCCCATGGACTGTAGCCTACCAGGCTTCTCCATCCATGGGATTTTCCAGGCAAGAATACTGGAGTGGGTTACCATTTCCTTCTCCAGGAGATCTTCCCACCCCAGGGTTTGAACCCGGGTCTCCCACACTGTAGGGAGATGCTTTACCGTTTGAGCCAGCAGGGAAGTCAAGGACTTGTTAACTATGAAATGACTTATAAACAGTGGCACTGTCACTGCTTCATTACTTCCAGATTGTGTGCTCTCACCATGACAGCTTATTTATTCCAATGAAATAGCTGGACAATAGAAAGCTGATTATAAAAACTATCTAAGTCTAATATAGTCAGATACAAAATTTTCTTCACAAGTACTCACTGTAAGGATTCAAGAATAAAGTACACAAAAAGTTCTCTGTTAGGAGAGAGGCACTGATTCTAACAGGGCAAAGTTTTTCAAAGTTAACTAAAATTTCTACAATGTAAGTGATAAAATTAAACCATGCAAAGGTCATTATTTCAATCCCAAAGAATAATGGTTTTTTCCACTTAGACTTAATCAGAAAAGAGATGGTTCTTATTACACAGTGCAATCTGGCAAAATTTCTTGTAACGCTATATATGTTTTAATGGTTGCTTTTTTTTAAGACTTAATTTTTTAAATTTAATTTTACTTTTTGGCCACCACAACGCAGCATGTGGGACCTTAGTTCCCTGACCATGGATTGAACTCGTGCTCCCTGCAATGAAAGCACGTAGTCTTAACCACTGGACCATCAGGGAAGTCCCTAATGGCTTATATCTTTTTATGTTAAGATCACAACCAAAAGAATTATAAAGTTGTCCACAAATTACTCCCCTTTAAAAGCTACAGGCATCCTGCAGCCCATTTCACTTAAGGTTCGTTATAATAATACCACAGACCCAAATGGAAAATAGCTCACCCCCAGTTGCCAGTTCCTCACACTGCTGCTTCTTGGATGCTAGGTCCTGAGCAGCCATCTCTAAGTCATACTGCATAAGTTCATGTTTCCTGCACACAGCCCTAGGAAAAAAATTTAATTTTTGCCATTTAATTTTTGTGGCCTCTCTAATTATTAACATGTTAAATTTTTCCCCAGGGAGTAAAGTGGAGGCATTCACGTACTATGATCAGAAGTTTTATATATAGAATTTTTAAGCTTAAAATGTAGTAGCCCAACATTAAAATGTAGTAGCCCAGATGGAAAACAACCTTTTTTGATTTATAAAGTTTTTATGCTTAGATTCTGCTAAATTAAATTTTTATCACATACATTTTTTAAAAAAGCTTTTTTTGTACAGCACTGGAACTAATGCTATCATCTCACATAACAACTGAATATTGTTTAAAAAGATTATCTCAAAGTTTTCTATTGAGAAATGTCTATTAGTTTTCATTATCATAAAAGTAATCCATGCTCACTAAAAAAAAAAAAAAAAGATTCTAATACAGGAATGTACTAAATAAGTTTCAAGAACACTTTCTTCTCCCTAGTTCTACTATCCAGACACAATTCATATTAATAGGTGGTATATATTGTTCTAGACTTTAACTAGGCATTTCTGAACTATATACCAAGGACACATTTCTTTATCAATATACATTCATCTTTTCTATAATCTTTAAGAGTTGCAAAGAATTCCATTGTGTTGAGCAACCTTCCTTTGGTAAAAGCCTGGTGTGACCTCTACTACTCAAAGCTCTAGAAGGAAAAAGGCTAACAATGTGATGTTTTCATCCCAGCTACTGAACAGCCAAAGGAATATTGTTCTTCTGTTTTATTAACAGAATTCTTACAATGATTTTAAAAGTGGCAGGAAAATGATTCACTTTTCTAAACTGGAATATCTCCCAGAGAATTCTGTTTGGCCCTGTAGGAGATACCACAAACACAGAAGACAAAGTCCTGACGTTAAGAAATTTTACAATCTTACTAAGGAGATAAAATATGCAGGTATGGAAACGTCACAGAATTTAAAGGTAATATACAATCTAATGACAGATCATGATAACACACACTCAATGTGTACTTTGCTTCCAATCTCCAAGCTGGAAAAAGCAGAAAGAACAACATACAGACAGCCCTGAAGTCAGAGACTAACAGGTTTTATCAATATAATGTTTCAAATATAGTGACAGTGTTAAGTCGCTTAGTCATGTCCAACTCTTTGTGACCCCATGGACTGTAGCCCTCCAGGCTCCTCTGTCCATGGGATTCTCCAGGGAAGAATACTGGTAGGTTGCCATTTCCTTCTCCAGGGTATCTTTCCAACCCAGAGATCGAACTAAGGTCTCCTGCATTGCAGGCAGACACTTTATCATCTGACCACCAGGGATCAGGGTTGTCTTAAATTCCTACATATACACCATGGAATATTACTCAGCCGTTAAAAAGAATTCATTTGAATCAGTTCCAATGAGATGGATGAAACTGGAGCCCATTATACAGAGTGAAGTAAGCCAGAAAGATAAAGAACATTACAGCATACTAACACATATATATGGAATTTAGAAAGATGGTAATGATAATCCTATATGCAAAACAGAAAAAGAGACATAGATGTACAGAACAGACTTTTGGACTCTGTGGGAGAAGGCGAGGGTGGGATGTTTCGAAAGAACAGCATGTGTATTATCTATAGTGAAACAGGTCACCAGCCCAGGTTGGATGCATGAGTCAAGTGCTCGGGCCTGGTGCACTGGGAAGACCCAGAGGAATTGGGTGGAGAGGGCCGTGGGAGGGGGGATCGGGATGGGGAATACATGTAACTCCATGGCTGATTCATGTCAATGTATGACAAAACCCACTGAAATGTTGTGAAGTAATTAGCCTCCAACTAACAAAAATAAATGAAAAAAAAAAAAAATTTCCTATGTCTAGCACTCTGCAACAGATAGGAATACAGTGAGATCTCATTCAATATCTAGGGGAAGGAATTCATTTAAAAATCACCTTATGCTCTTTATTTTAGAGTAACAGATGAAGAGAGTGTTGACCAGCCATAGGACTGCATCTGGAACATGTATTATACTTACCGCAATGCTTCTGCATAAAAAAGATACTCCTTTAACTGATCCGCATAATGTTCTTCATCTTCCAAAATATCATCAATAGAAGATGCATATCTGTTTAAAAAATAATGTATATAGTAACTTTTATCAAGACACAAAATATTAATATTCTAAAGAGGAGCTATTCAAAGCATAGTCCACTGACCATTTGCTACCCATGAATGACCAAAGTACAAAAAATCTGAATAAGCTTTTAGAAACATTTATAGCAACTTTTTAATTGAAGTATACTTGATTTGCAATACTATGTTAGTTTCAGGTATATAGCAAAGTGATTCAATTACATATTTCTTTCTTTCAAATTTTCCATTATAGGTTATTACAAGATATTAAATATAGTGCCCTGTGCTATACAGTATGCCCTTGTTACTTATTTTATGTAGTTTGTGCCTGTTAATCCCACACTCCTAATTTATCCCTCCCCCCAACAGCAATCCTTAATTACCATGACAATTCTACGGAATTTTACCAAAATGTGTTTAGCAAGGGCTTGGTGATAAAGCCCTTGCTTTTTAAAAGAACAAAGCAAACAAAAAAATTGTCCTTCTTAAGGTAGCTTAATGAGCACTGTAGTATCTTTTGTTAAATGTAGTATAAAAAGGGCTACAAAATCTGTAGAAAGAATAAGAATTTAGTATAATTGAAGAATTTAGTATCCCCTGATAGCAACTACATAAAGTCAAAAAGCTACAGAAGGAACAGTTGAGCAAATAAAGATCACAGAAAATTTTAGAAGCGTTATTTTACTCTAATTCTCAGTAGCAACCTCTGCTTTGATCTGGACAAGTCCCTCACTGTTGTGCCATTCTTGTTCTGAGTCTTCCTTTGCACACAACTATAGCGGCTCTCCATACTGCCTTTCCAAATCCTCAACACCTCTAGAAATCTCCCCAGAGATTTCTTGTTCATCACTCTACTTCTGATCTCTTGTCAAAAACTGAGAACTTAAATCTTATCAAAGAAATGTCTCTTACAGGTATACGCATTACTGAGTCCCTACACTGTTCACCTCAAACTCTCAGAACACTGTTTGTTAATCGGCTATACTCCAATACGAAATAAAAAGTTTAAAAAAAAAAGAAATGTGTTGTGTTGGTTTTCTCTGATCACCAGGGCTTTCCTCGTGGCCCAGATGGTAAACAATCTGCTTGCAACACAAGAGACCCAAGTTCAATCCCTGGGTTGGGAAGATCCCCTGGAGAAGGGAATGTCTACCCGCTCCAGTATTCTTGCCTGGGCAATTAGATGGACAGAGTCCATGGGGTGCAGCCTATGGGGTCAAAAAGAGGTGGACACAACTGAGCAACAACACTTTCTCTGATCACATTATAAATTCCTAAGGACATGGGCTATGTCATTTATTATTTCTGTAGGGTATAAGTAGCATTCTTTTTTCAAATTAATTCTGATTCCTTAGCATGGGCATAAAAGAAAAATATACTTTATGTCTCCAAGCCTGCTTCTACATGTAGTTAAGTAAACAAGTTTACTGAATTAAAAAATAAACAAAAAATCTAAGTTAATGCTCGCTGAAAAGCAACATGCTTATAGTATTTATGAAAGTAGGCAAAATACATATTCTGTAAATATAAATTTACATTTGTGAGAGTGTGGACTTTGTCCTATGTGACTGAAAAATGTCTTGAGAATGTTGTTAAGAGTAGGAATAACTGTCTGTAGTTCATAAATCTACGATTCTGGAGAAGTTAATGTTAAGAAAACAAAAAAGAAGGTAAGCGGCTGGTGGCTTGAAGATAGGAAACACAGTGTGGATAGAGGCAAGTGGTAAAGATGTTTTAGATATTAGTACTAAAACTAATTTTATTTAACATTTACATAAACCAAGTGAAGGGATAATCCCAAATTCCTGCAAATACTGAGACTGTCCTGTCAACAGAATGCATGAAGACAACAAAATAGTTGAAAAGCAGCTGGTCAGCTTAAACAATAATCCAAAGAAAAATGATATTTAAATAAAATAAATATTTTTGTCTCTTTGTTGATCAGTTGTAGGAGTTCTTTATATATTTTGGTTGGAAATGTTTGCTCCCAGTCTGTGGCTTGCCTCTTCACCATCTTAATGGGGTGTGTTTTTGTGTGTGTGGTAAAATGTAACGTAAAATTCACCTTTTTAACAATTTATTGGTGTATATAGTTCAGTGGCTTTGAGTACTTTCATGCTGTTGTGCAACCATTACCACCATTCATCTCCTGAACTTATCTTCCCCAACTGACTATACTCCTACATTCCTTCCACTTACAACAGAATTTTTTGATAAGCCAAATTTTTAATTAATTTTCTGTGTTTTTTGGCACAACATGTTCCCTACCCAGGGCTCAAACCAGTGCTCCCTGCACTGGAAGCAGGCCGTCTTTCCTGCTGGACGATCAGGGAGATCCCCAAATTCTAATTTTGAAGAACAATTTACCATTTTTAAAAGATTGTTTTTCCTTTCATGTCCTTTAAAAAAAATCTTTTGCTTACTCGAAGGCTGCTAAAATATTCTCCTATTTTCTACTAAAAGCTGTAGTTTAAGGTTTTATATTGATGTATATCATCCAAATTGAATTAGCATTTATGTAAGATATGAGATATGGCTCAAGGTTCCTTTTTTTTTAAATGATTCACTTTTTTAAAAAATTACTCATTTTCAACAGAAAAAATAAAATTTATACAGAAAAAATCCTGTTAACTGCTAATAAAGACAGTTTTCCATCTTCCTTTCTATGCTGGGTCTTTGTTGCTGCATGGGTTTTTCTCTATTTGCAGAGAGCGGGGGCTACTCTCCAGCTGCAGTGCATGGGCTTCTCGTTGCAGGGCACGGGCTCTAGGGAATGCATACTTCGGTAGCTGCAGTATATCGGCTAAGAAGTTGTGGCTCCTGGGCTCCAGAGCACAGTCTCAGTAGTTGTGGCGCAGGGACTTAGCTGCCGTGTGGCATGTGGGCTCTTCCGGGAGCAGGAGTTGAACCGGTGGCTCCTACATTGTCAGGAGGACTCTCTAATGCTGATTCAAAAGGGAAGCCCTCAAGGTTTAGTTTTTTCTTCCTATGAAGATATCCAGTTATTCTAGAACCATTCTTGAAATGAGCTATGTAAATGTAGATCTATTTCCGAATTCTACCCTATTCCATGGATCTGTTTATCTCAATATTGCCTGATAACTATAGCTCTATAGTAAGTCTTGAAATCAGGTAATACATTCAACTTTGTCCTTTTTTTCAAGACTGTTTTGACTACTTCATGTTCTTTGAATTTCTACCTACATTTTCAAATCAGCTGATTAATTTCTATTAAAACTTACTGGAGGTTTGATTGGGACTGTCATTTAGGAAGAATGCTCAGATTAACACTACTGAGTCTTCCAATCTATGAACATGGTTTAATCTCACCTTTTATTTAGGTATTTAGTTTCTCTCAGCAATGTTTATATATAAAGTTTTCAGTGTAGACGTCTTCCACACTATTATAAACAGCATTTTTAAGCTTTTATTTTCTAATTTTACTAGTATGCAAAAATGTTCTTTTCATATATTCATTATGTATCATGCATTCTCATTAAACTCAGCTGTAAGCTCTACAGTATTTTTGGTTGACTATTTTCTACAGAAAAATCCTGTTGGAAGGAGCCAAGATGGCGGAGGAATAGGACGGGGAGACCACTTTCTCTCCTACAAATTCATCGAAAGAACATTTGAATGCTGAGCAAATTTCACAAAACAACTTCTGATCGCTAGCAGAGGACATCAGGCGCCCAGAAAAGCAGCCCACTGTCTTCGAAGGGAGGTAGGACAAAATATAAAAGATAAAAAGGGACTCAGGAGAGCTACGGACGGAGACCCGTCCCGGGAAGGGAGTCTTAATAGAGGAAGTTTCCAATCACCAGGAAACCCTCGCACTGGCGGGACTGGGGGAAGTTTTCGGCAATCTAACTGGGAGGAAAAATTCAACAAGGCCCACAGATTACGTGCCTAAAAGCAACTCCCAGCAGAAAAGTACCCCAGACGCCCGTACCCGCCAGCAACAAGCGGGGGCGGGACGGAGAGGAGCGGGCGGCATTGCTTAGGGTAAGGACCGGCCCGAAGACCCTGAGAGCAATCGGAGGGAGCTTTTTTAAACTGTGGGATAGCAAGGGTCAAAATTAACAGGCCCGAACACACTGCTGGCGGTTGGCAAAACAAAGGGACTGAGAAAGTCCAGAGAAGAGCCGGCCCATCCCCGCTGGAGGTTGGAGGCAGGGCGGAGGGGAAAAGGGCAAACTCAGCCCCAGAGAAGCCACCCCCTCCCACACTGCAAACAGGCCCCCGGTTCCTATCTAAAGACTTCTGAGACCCGACTGGCGGTGCGCGCTGGGGCCGCGGAGGGAAAAAGCGCGCCGTACCCGGGGAGATTGCGCCCAAGCCTCTGGCTGCCTGAGCTGCCCGCCGCGGAGGGACAAGGCGCGCTGCACCCAGCGAGAGTACGCCCAAGCCTCTGGCTGCCTGGGCCGCTCAGGCCGGGGAAGGCACAAAACGCAGGCGCAACCGAATCTGCGCTTTTGTGGAGTACCTGAAAACTGGAACCGCACTCAACGCAGGGCCCGCTCCATATAGAGCAGCCGGGAGCCTGAGCAGTGTAGACGGCGAAAGCACTGACACCCGTGAGTGGGGCAAACCCAGTGTGACCGGAACACGGTGAGTGCTATCCACACAGAGCGGTATCTGTCTGCAGCGCCCCGCCCTCCCCGTAGCAGGACTAAACTGAACTAGAGAACGTAAATAAGAGATCACCTCCGCCCGCCTGTGTCAGGGCGGAAATTAGACACCAAAGAGACGGCAAACAGAAGCCAAATAAAGAAAGGGAACCGCTTCAGAAAGGACTGGTGCAACAGATTAAAATCCCTGAAGGTAACACCGACTACACAGGAAGGGGCCTACAGATATCGAGAAGTGTAAGCTGGAAAGAGGAGCTATCTGAAATGGAACTGAACCTATGCTAACTGCAACAACTCCAGAGACATTCCTAGATATATATATATATATATTTTTTTTAATTAAAAAAAAATTTTTTTTTCT